AACAGAAAAGGTTAACTTTCCTCAACCAGGGTGGAGAGGAGTTCCTGCCTCAAGTCCAAGAGTAGTTTAGTAGTATTTTGTATTCACCACAGAGGTGATAAAGGCGCTGGAGTTCTATAGAAAGTTTTTGTTCAGCTGCTGCCCTTATGTGGACTCTGCACCAGTCTGTTTAGTTATATCTATTGATATATGGATCCATCTATTACCTAGGTTCCTACCTATGGTCATGAAATCTGGATCATGACCCAATGAATGAGATCCTGGATGCAAGCGGCTGAAATGAGCTTTCTCTGCAGGGTAGCAAGGCACTCCCTTAGAGATAGGGTGAGGAGCTTGGTAATTAGGGAGAGACATGGAGCAGAGTGGGTTTCTCTTCCAGATCAAGAGTCAGTTGAGGTGGCTCAGACATCTGTTTCTGATGTCTCCTGGACACCTCCATTAGGAGGGCTTCCAGGCCCAGAGAACGACCCACGACATGTGGAGGAGGTGTTTTGGGAGAGGGAGGTCTTGGAGGGACGTCTGCGACAGTGTTGGCAGGATGCATCTTTCTGTGTGATGTACAGTGGGAGAAAGCAGGCTGGATGAGGTGATGGGAAGGCGAGTTGAACTTTAAGGAATTTTGGAGGATGTTCTTTATCTGGGTGGATAATCGAAATAAGTGGTCCTCCTACTTGATTCTGGTTATATGTTTACGTAAGGCGGTCCTAAGTGCTCGTCTCCATCTTAACTTACAGGTGGTGAATCTGACTTGGTGGAAAAAATGTAAAACTTATTTTGGACAGTAAGCTTGTATGAGCAATGCAAACAGAAACTTTTAAACAAAGCGTGCACGAGGAGAATTGGGCTCGTGCACGCTCTTGCATACTATTAAGTAGGGGAGCGGGTACAGAGTTGTCCATGTACATTTTTTTTTTTATTTGCAAAAATCCTCACTTATCACTTATCCTTTAAGAAGGACAATTCTTAACTAAAAAAAAAAAAAACCTTGAGGCTGCGACAGACCAAAAACTGTAAGTTTTAATTTTTGTGTTTGTGTTGCGTTAGAAATTGCTATTTATAATTACATAGGGTCAAATATTAATGGAGGGAGACGTCCTTTAGGCTATGGCTGCACAGAGCTAAGAAAACTAGAGATTGTAACGCCCACCATTATGCTAGAATACCATTATACTAGAATGTGACTGCAGCAAGTTAGGCCTGAATAAAGTGTATATCCTACACATATTAATGAAATTCTGTTATTATAATTATTTATGTAAACAAACTTTGACAACACTTGATAAGATAGGTGACAAGAGCTGAAGTTCAGATTTAGATTTGTGTTGTAAATTAATCCACAAATAAAATGTTAAGGAAGGACATGCATTTTCCTCCAACTTTACATCCATCTGTGCAGGAAGCAAGTGGATCGGCGTTCCAGGGGAAATTCGAGGCTATGAATTGGTTCACCGTCGATACGGAAAACTGCCGTGGGCCGAACTCTTCCAGCCGACCATCAAGCTGGCCAGAGAAGGATTTCCTATTCCTCCAGTTCAGGGCTTGTTTATCTCATTCATTGATCAAAAACAGACGCCGCCTCTATGGTATGAAATACATTACGAAACACAGGGGGCCTTAAAATATGAGCGACACAGACTCACACATCTAACTCTTCTCAGGAAGGCATTTACAGATGAAAAAGGAAACCTGCTCAAGACTGGAGACATCGTTAAATTTGAGAAACTGGCCGACACTTTGGAGACGATTGCAAACGTTGGAGCAGAAGCCTTTTACTCTGGAAGGATAGCAGAGGATTTGGTCAGAGACGTGCAGGAGGCAGGTATTGTCAGAACACTTTCCTCTATGTCTGCATGGCTCAATGATTCAATTAGAAATGAGCAAATCAATTTGATCTGTATGCACCACAGCAATCTCTCACACAGCAGCTGATCTATTAAAGGTCAGAATTTATAAGCTGGTTTGGTTTTCATGATTTCTGTCGTTTGTTTTGCTGTTTTTTTCCCCAGGAGGAGTCCTCACACTGGAGGACTTGGCATCATATAAGGTTAAAGTGACTGATGCGTGGGTCGTCCCTATGGGGGACTACCAGATGTACATACCCCCTCCCCCCTCAGGAGGAGCACTCCTCAGCCTCGTCCTCAACATCATGAAAGGTTGCTGCTGGATGCAAACATGTACAAAATGAAGCGTAGTGGGAAAAAAAGACATTTAAAACAGGAGAACGTTGTGTTATGGTTGCCGTTAGGAGCCTTTATCCTAATATAGGTCATGTGGGAAGAGTTTTGACCAATCATGAACTAAAAAGAAAAGGAAAATCAATCCATATTTCAATAAAGCAATGTTTATATTTACAGGGTATCATATGGATTCAGCTCCTCAGTCTGCTGATCAAAAGACCAGGTTTTATCATCGCTACGTTGAAGCTTTTAAATTTGCCAATGGACTGAAGAAACACATTGGGGATCCAAACTTTATATCAAATAAGGTAAGTATTGAATCAATGCAATACAAAAAAACCCATTTACACTACACTTGAAAAACCGATCCATGCCGAGACCGTTCCGAGCTCGGATCAGTTAACCAGGCCCAGCTCGGTTCTGACGACCGTTTACACATCAAGCTATCTCGATTCCTTGACTCCTCGCCTCCTAGTGACGATCTGCGGTATTACTGCCAGCATTGAAGGAGGAAATCAAGCAGTTGGTGGCGGTAATGCACCAAAAGTTGTTTGCCAACAGCCATAAAACACAAGAAGAAGAAGACAAAGAAGGAGGGAATCAAGCAAATCAAAATGTTGTCGATTGTTGTTTATAGTTGTTCTTCTTCTTCTGTTTTGTGTTGGTTGGCAAGCAACTTCCGGAGGGGCATTACCGCCAACTACTGGAATGGAGTGTGAATCGCGATGTTCAGCCAGACGGAGATGACGCGTTCTGTTCATGCGCTCTTGTTATCAGAGAACCGAGCCAGGGAAAAACCGAGCCGAGCCCACCTCTGGAACTGGTCTGCAGTTATCTCGGTCCGGTTGTGTCTATCTCGGTTCAGTTCAGTTTGCTTTCCATTTACACACGATAAGTTATCTCAGTTACTGAGCTCGGACCGGTCTCGGCACAGTTTTTCAAGGGTAGTGTAAATGGGGTCAAAGTGTGTTCAGAGATACTGTCACGATTTGGCTATGGTTAGTTGACCCAAAAGCAGAGGCAGGGAGGCAGAGTGGATTTAATAATGACTTAACAGAAAACAGAGGCAGGTTATCCAAAAATCCCAAAAAGTAAACAAAGTCCAAACAAACATAAAACCAGGAGTCCAAAAATTCAAAAATCAAAAACATGAAAACTAGTCTAAACGTACCAGAAACCATGGAGACATCTGGGGAATCACAATCATAAGGAGGGAGGCACAGAGAGAAGGAGTTGGAGCATGTTAGATGGTGTTTGACGAGGACCCAGCAAAGGGGAACTGAAGAGAAAGGGCTTTTTAAAGGAGACTGAGACAAAGAGGGGGCTAATGACGAAACTGGGAGCAGGTGTGCAAAGAACAAAAGAGGGAAAGAACTAGAGAAGAAGGAGAACATAAGAGGGCAGCAGAGAGCAACAAATAGAAACCTGGAGGACTGGAAATAACAACAAAATGAGATCAAATAAACTAGGACTATAAAACATGGAGAAAAGAAAACTAAACACTAGAAAACAAGGAGTAAAGTAAGACTGAATACTCAAAAGAAAAACATAACAGAAACCTGACAGATACTCCTTTATGACCTTTGTTGGACCGAGTGATGAAAAAAGAATGAATCTAGATCTAAAACGTTCTGTGATGTCCATCCGGTAATTGAATGCCGTACTATTTTAAAATCCTGTATTTTGCTGACATTCATGCTTTCATATTCATTTGGGTGTGATGTGGATAAATTGACTGATTTGCACTTAGGTAGCAGTACTATGGAGAAACTAGAAAATGTATTATTATCTTCTGAAATTTCAGTAAAGATGGACATTTAGAGAAGCTCACTCATCTAGGGCTGCAACTAACGATTGTTTTGCAAAATCGATCAATCTTCTCAATTCATTTTCAATTAATCGATTGTTAATTAGATAGCCAAAGGTGCTTTAAAGAAGTATTTTTAATAAATTAAACCAGGTGAAACTTAAACTTTTCCACTTGAGGACTTCTGGATGGATCATATTGACAGGCAAATTTTATTTTTAATCTTAAATGCAAAATGTTTTCACAATCTTGATATACTTATTGCTCTAAGTGGGTCTAAGAGTCTCTATACTTTTAACAATTAATTGATTACTAAATTAGCTAATGATTATTTCAATAATTGATTAATCACCATTCATTTGATTAATTGTTTCAGCCCTAATTCCATCTTAGCCACTTTACACTCAGCAGTAAACCTTTCCAGTACATTGTTGAGCTCATGGCCTGCAGAAGTCGACAAAACCATGTCAGAAAAAAAAAAAAAAATGATTGGATTCAGGAGGTTTCCAAACCAGGCAGTCTCCTCTCCTAGAGTTCACCCCTGAAGCCACAAACAGGATCGGTGAAAGGAAGCAGACTAGCATCAGATGCCCAACTTTGTGACAGGAATTTCAACCTGGGTTTCTATTTGAACAAAAAAAGGATCATAAACCCAGATACTACATTCCTGTAGAAAAACAAAAACACAGAATAATACAGCAGTACAGGTATTATATGAGATTTACTCACTTTTATTCACTTTTTTTTCTCTCCCAACATATGATTAACGAACTGAGTTTATTTGGGATTTTCTTTCTCTAATTTTTTTTGCAGCTCTTATTTGCAATATAATGGAGAAAATAGTTGGAACATCAGTACCATCAATTCAAAATATTAACAATATATAATATATTCTCCTAAAACCTTTAATCTCTGTGGGGTTCAGATATGTGTCTATATCCTGGAAATATTCTAAAACAGAAATTTTTTTTGCCTGGTGTGATTTGACTATCAAATTGAAACGACCTGTTTGGCAGAAAGAAGTGAAATTATAATTCAACTTATTCAGCTGAAATGTAAATAATTCACTGTGAATTTTATCTGGAAACCTGCTTCTGTTTTTCCTGCTGTTCCTGTAATAAAGTATCATATTATTCATCCTGCTGCCTTACAGTTTGGGTTGAGTTTTTCTAAATAAGAATTTTGTCAATATAACAATAGTTTTTAATTTTCTAGCAGATCTATGCTTTAAATTGTTCTTCAAAAAAAACATTATTTTATTAATTTCAGATTTTAAATAGCTTTACTTTTTACTGAAAGTTTTAAGCTGAAGTAAATTGAACTTATAACTGATTATACAGCCAAATGTTTTATTCTACAAATAAAACTATTTGAAATTTAGGTTCAAAGAAATACATTTACAAAAAGTAAAATTAGTTTTTTATCTAACTTTATGTTATCTTTTTCTAGTGCATGATTTATTTTTTTTGTCTTCCCCTTTATTTTCCACAGACAGCAATGAAAATGATAGAAGCTGATTTTGCAGACCATATACGGACTCTGATCAGCAGCAACAGGACACACGACCCCCAGTATTACAGCCTGACTCCTTATCTGGACAGCTTGGGTACCACTCACTTATCTGTACTGGCTGAAGATGGATCGGCCGTCGCTGTCACCAGCACCATCAACCACATGTTAGTATCTGATGAGTTTTACCTTGCAGGGGGAGTCTACAGACATCCTACTATATCTTGGCCAAGTTGGCGCCACAGTTTATCTTGGAGAGTCCAGAGAAACTCATTCTAATGCAGCTCTGTAGCTGATTTTACTCACTGATAATAGAATAGGCTTGCTTATTACATAGGCTACATACAATTCAGTTTCAATTCAATTCAGTTTATTTATATAGCGCCAAATTCAGAACACATGTCATCTCAAGGTACTTTACAGTTCAACCAGATCATACACTCAAATTGATTCAAAGTTTTCTATTTAAGGAAAACCATTTGATTGGATCGACTTATTGACACAAATACAATCCCTCACACTAAGCATGCTTGTAGCGACAGTGGAGAGGAAAAACTCCCTTTTAACAGGAAGAAACCTCCAGCAGAACCAGGCTCAGTGTGAGCGGCCATCTGCTGAGGCCGACTGGGGTTCAAGGAGACAGAAGCAGAGACACAAAAAGCAGCTGTAAAAGGCGGCCCCGTCCAGGAAACACACAGCCAGGCAGACGAGCTCCGAGCCAGCTCCCATGCCAGAGGACGAAGACAGCACATCCACTCAGTCACGGTCAGAGAAACAGGACTACACTGGAAAACAGGCCGATCTCCAGCATCTATAAACAAGGGTGTTGATGGAAGCAGCACATCAGGAGACAGCATACAGAAGTAAACCTTTGCTGCTAATAAGGAGGCAATGATGATTCCAGACACTCATGCCTTTGAAAACAAATAGTTACTCCCATGGTTTTAGAACTATAATTCCTAGATAAGTCGGCATGGTTTATCTAATATGCAGCACAGTACAAAAAAACAAAAAACAAAATATAAATTCAATTAAAAATATTTTATTGATCCATCCATTTTCTGTCACGCTTATCCAAAGCAGGGTTGCGAGGAAACTGGTACGGGTGCGGGCGAGAGGCGGGGTACCCCCTGGACAGGTCAACAGTCCATCGCAGGGCAACACAGAGACAAACAGCCATTCACAAACACACCTAGTTTACTAAAATTAAGAAAGTTAAGCTTTATATAAACTGAAGACCAGAAATTGGCTGTAAAGATTTTGATTGATGTGTCTCGGCTAATGCTCCCATCTGTTTGCGACTCGCCTAGACTTCATCTAACTTAACCCTATAATGCCAAATGTATCGTATTTGATACATACGGTTTCTGAAATGTTTTGCATCTGACACCTTTTGCATAATTTAATGGTAAAAACTTTGCTCAAAATCCTATTGTACACAATCAGATATACCTGATAACAGAGGGCAGAAGACTACACAAAAAATAATCTTGACTTATCACATAGTAATAAATTATTAATATCAAAAATGTATTTCTGTTTTTTCTTTTTACATATTTTGTTAAAAAGGAAAATAAGGACTTCAAACAAAAAAAAAAAGAAGTAATTTTCTGTTTAGTTTTATTCTTGGATCAGGCTTTAAAGGGTTAAACCTCTTCTTTACAGATTTGGCTCCAAAGTCTACTCTTCAAGAACTGGAATCGTTCTAAACAACGAGCTGTCAGACTTTTGTAAAAGGACCGATGAGATCTTCCCTGGTAAATAAATTGACGTCATCCGTTTTTATTTTGTCTATTATGTATTGGGAACAAACTTGGTTTTGTATAAAAACGTTTCCATGATTAACTTTTGTCTTCACATTGTAATGTTGTGAGTGGAGCTGCTACAACTGAAAGAGAGCGTCACATAGGCTGGTTTCTAAGACACCATTTCCCCTTTTTGTTTAATCAGGCAGGCCATCTAATTCATGTGTTATGGGTTGGTTTCTACCCAGCTTTCAGTGCTATAATCTACTCAGGTTTCATGGTGTGTTTGTTGCATTTCGCTGGAAGCTTATCTCTATCAGATTACAAAGCGCTTCTGTTGGTTTCTAATTGAAAATGACATTTGAGCCCAAAGGAAAAAAACAAAATTCTCCCCGTCTCTGTTAGAAAATATCCTTCGACATTTATTTATTCGTGCAGCCAGAATTCAGAACAGTTACGCTCCAGTGGTTCTTATTGACCTAAAATAGAAATACACATGTTGCAGTTTATATTTTAGCCTTTTTATAAAAGCAAACTTTAAGCGCTGTAGTAGCAAAGATTTCTGTTTTCTTTTTAATATGATGGTCATTAAATAACCAAAAGATAAATAGCGTTCACTACAAATCTGTAAAATAAAACATACGTATGGAATCAATACCCTTTTAAACCATCTAATTGAAATCCAGTGCAGCAAGTTGCTTTCAGTTTTGGTGTTTGAGGAAAAAAGCAGTGTGCAATGTTCAAACGATTGTGAAAAATATGAAAATTATGCATAATTTTCCTTCCAGTTCACAATTATTAATGGTTTCACAAAAATCCCTGGTAAAGTAAAGGGACATTTGTGAAGACATTCATACGGATAACTATTGCAGCGCAATAGTAGCCTTGTGAGACCATCCTGATCTTGCGAGCTTTCAGGGTTTCACTCGCAGATCAGTCTGGAGACTC